CTACTCGTAGCAACGACGCAGGGTTGCCTCTGCGGCGGGAGTAAGTGGTTGACTCCTCGCCCGAAGAGTTTCAACTGAGCTGCGCGATTTGTCTTGAGATCACTCACAACCGAACGAAGCAGACTATTCAACAAGAGGCACCGGAGCAAGTGCCAATGCCACTCTGGTTTCTTGCAGCAGATTGTATCGAAGTACGTGGTTGCTGTCCCATCGAATATGCACGAATCCTCCGGTTTGCATCTCTACTTCGCTACGAATGAAGGATCGCGCCACCGGCTGAGGCACTAAGTAGTCACGACCCTAGCCTTCTCCCTTCACTGTTGGTGGTAATACAAAATCGCTACGCTACAGCCTTTCCTTCCTTCACAGAACCAACTTACCAGGACCTGCGTAAACTCCCGGCATATGGTGTTCATATGCAGGAGCTCTACGCGTTTCGTAGCCATTGCGACGACGCTCGACCTCTTCCACGTGGCCTCCGGAACCGAACCGCTGGACCTGTGGTGGGGGCCCCGGGCAAAGGCCAAAGCGGCGGCTCTGCTCGCCCGGAAAGCCTCTGCTTGGTCATGGCCGTCAAGAGGCACGTCCCTTCCCGCCAATTTGTCCTTTTTTCTGAAGGTTTCTCGAGGCTTTTGGTGACCTTTGGCGCTCTGTACTAGATCATTCCTTGCTCGGTCAGATTGGACCTTTGCGACAAGCATTACTTGCCGCCCTTTCTAGCGACTGCTGGTCAAAGTCAGCTTTATCGTGATTTCTCGATGCCCTTCCTGTTTCATTGGTGTTTTGAGCTTCGCCTCGTTAATTCGCGAAAGGAGCTGAAGTTGGAGGCATGGCATGGCGGCAGTATTGAGGCATGAAGATTTCTCGCATGGAACCGCCTGCTATCGGCAGCATTGGTCAGAGCACTCGTAGTGTGGTGATGCTGATTAACACATTCGCCAACACGGCACCGGAGCAAGTACGAAGTACGGGGTCGGCTCTCCCTTTACAACCGTGCAACACTCTTCTTTTATATTCTGTCAGCTTCACCCAGGTGCATGTGCAAATCATTGAGTAATCTGACGGAACACTAGCAGCTGTAGTTGATTTGCAAACGAACGTTTTCTACTGCACATGCTCGCCTTGTTCGACGACGTTGGGTGACAACGCCGTATTTGCTCTGCCTCTACTTGTTGGGTGCTGTTACGTGCTGTTATTGCACAATCGCACATTCCAAAAGAAGAAAAAAAACAATAATGGACTCAAGAGGTAAGAAGCAACAGAACAAGCAAAAGCGTGTTGTACACATCGACCATCAACCGAAGGGGCTCTGAGCCACCACCCACCAGGACCTACACAGAGTAGTACACTACAGCAGTAGTCACTGCAACGCCAATATTACGTAACAGCAGCACAGGGTCGCCGTGCCATACGGATGCGTCGGTGTGGACTGACTACTGCTGTATATGTGGTCTAGTCTACAGAGTAGACCGTTCGTGTAGGCCTTTGCAGCTTCGTCCGACTACGCAACATTCCGATGAGCGATGGACTTTACTTTTAGGTGCCTCACCTCGTGCCACCAGGAGCTCTATGCCTCCCGTCTGCACCAGGACAGCTGGTCGTCCTCTCTCCTGTCTACGCGCTTGGTTTATTTAGTCGTCTGGCATAGCGCCTTTGATTGGTCGCCCGTTTCCTCGGATAGCGTCCACATTTAGACCCCGTTCGGCTGCCCCGGAGTCAGCGCACGGCTTCACGGGACACAGCACCTCACCCTGGCCATGGCAGCCGAGATGGGCTGCTTTATCGCTTCTGGCAACCGCCCCCGGCCGGAATCCTCCTGCGTAGCGCGTACGTTTGTCACGGACGTGATAGCGTCGTACATAGTACTGTCGTAGAGAAACGACGGTTTCACTCGACGACACATAGTCTAGACTACATGCCTGCCGATACATGTCCAACTCCGGGAAGGCGGGGGCGCGACTATTTGCAATCCATTGATTGAAAAAGAGAACCACAGTCCAAGCATCCACACGGATCGAAACCCC